ATTTATGAATTCGGAACAATATTTGTATAACGCGATCGCTTGTTTGCTATAACGCGATTTTTGCTTACTATTTCTCCAATTTTGTGGTATTAACTGTGAATATGGTAAAGAAGAATATCTCCAAAAAGCATTCTGATGATAGAATTCCCGGTGATTATCGTAAAAGAAAGGATATAACACTTGAAGAGAAGCTTGATGTTATCAACCTCAAAATCACCCTTCTCCCCCATCAAGTTACATTCATATTTTTTCAAGGTAAAGTGTTAAATTTACTGTATGATTTCATTATTAGATATGAATGTAACATTTATTTAGACTGTGCTATCCTTTGTGTTAGGCTAACTACTAAATTTTTTCGATTTCGAGTAATCTGCACCTAACCCTATTTTCTCCATAAGCCCTGTTATTTCTATTACGCGATTTTCTATAACACGATATTTTACAAGAACACAATTATCGCGTTATAGCAGAACTACCTGTAATGTAAACTTAAACTATGAAGATGTCAATGGAAACGCTGTAAGTCATTCAACAGGTGTCTCAAGACATTCTGAACCATATGACAGTTATGCTGAATGAATATCTATCTAATTACGGCTGCTCCTTGACTTACGACGGGGTTGGGGACCCAAATCCAGGTCGTAAGTCGAAAATGCTTAAATAATACATAGAAAATCTAAAATGGGTTTCTCTTTTTCTTCTCAGCACCACAAAACTCACTTTTAAACTTGCCAGCCATTTTAAAGTGAATTACAAACGAAACTTTTGTCAGTACACAGCGTAAACGCTAATGTCGGGACTCGAAAATACGTAATTTGACAAAATTTTGGTACGACTGAGGCGGTTGTATGTCCGGGTGGTCATAAGTCGAGTAGGTCGTAGGTCAAGGAGTAGCTGTATAAGGTTAAAGGTTTGATGCTTGTGGTTTGTTCAAGTGATCTTCAGAAGTGTTTTGTTTGTGCTGCCACACCAGCTGTGTCTGTTCACTGAGACAATACAATACATCCCCTAATGATTCCTTTCTAGAATATTAAGAGAAAAATAGCAGAGCTTAATTAGTCAATTCCTCACAAAGTGTGTGCGTGTGTGTGTGTGTGTGTGTGTGCACGCGCAATATTATCAGAGTACAAGGGGTCCCTGGGTTACGAACGGGTTCCGTTCCTAAGGACGTTCTTAAGTTGGAAATGTACGTAAGTCGGAACACATGTGCATACCGTACTTACAGAACATTGTTTAAAATCTCACTATATCATAGCCTAAGTCCTTTTATACATCTAAAATCACTTAATTTAAGAGAAAAGAAGAAATAGAATGACAAAATACAGTACGTACATGAAAGTAAAAAATAAGTCATCAGGTAAGTAAAATACTGTAAATTTAAAGTTTAACCTCATTTGTATCGGCGTTCGTTCGTAAGTTTTTGACCCCCTGTACTGTCGGTCCATGATTTACACATTTTTTTGTGCACAGTTTGACTTATACAAGGCAGGGTGTTGTGACCTATTATTTATAATTATGCAGTACAGTGCAGTCTGGACTCACTCATACAATACACAGATCATCAAGGTACTGTACATCATTGGGCAAGAAATGAAGGATGTGTAATTGAAAGCAGTAATAAAATACCAGTACCTTTTTATGAATAGTTTTTGTACCTTTGCAGTAGTACAGTCTCTCCTCGACTTACGATATACAGTGGTCCCTCGGTTAACGAACACAATTCGTTCCAGAAGGTCGTTCGTTAACCGAAAATTACATACAAACTAAAAATAAATGCAGTAAAGTACACTTACTTTGAGGTGTGCATGTAGAAGGCTCCTGGTTGATGATGATGATGGGAACTAGAATAGGGGTGGAGGAGAAGGGAGAAGAGAAGGCATTGGGGTGGAAGAGAAGTCACCCCATGCCGCCATTTCACCCATAAAATTTTAGTTCACTTGGTGTAATTCAAGATTATTTTCTTTAAATCTACACTGCACTGCATTATATATTGTCAATATGTAAAATAAACTTCAGAATGACCAATAATTGTACTTTAAAAACGTAAAAATAGTTTATGTTCAAGAGAGTCATACAAGAAACTTCCTCCACTGAGCAGGGACACACACTGATGCAATTTTTGGTGAGTCAAGTGGCTGTTTTGCAGGCTAAAAAATAGTTCCTTGTACTTCAATTATGTTGAATAATTGTTAAAATGACTAAAAACTTTAATATAAGACTTGGGAAAATTATTGAATAGTACAACCTTCTTAATATTTACTCAAATGGTAACGAATTTAAGCCCTAAAACCGATTACTGTATTGGCGGACTAATACTACAGCTGGTGAGCAGGCAAAAGCAGGCGAAAACATGTTGGAAAAAATTCGTAAGGAATTCGTTAACCAAAATTTTTTCGTTAACCGAAGTGAAGAATCTTATGGAAGGTAATTCGTTAACTGAAATTTCGCTAACCGAGGCGTTCGTTAACCGAGGGATCACTGTATTCGACTTACGACAACCCGGACATATGAAAGCCATGGTCATATAAAATATTTTTCACATTACGTATTTTCGAGTCCCAACGTTAGTGATTGCGCTGTGTACTGACAAAATTTTCGTTTATAATTCCCTTTAAAATGGCTGGCAAGCGTAAAAGTGAGAGTTCTCGTGGTGCTGAGAAGAAAAAGAGACGCCCATTTTAGAATTTCTATGTATAATTTTTGCCTTTTCGACTTACGACCAATTCGACTTATGACCTGGTCGTTGGGACGGAACCCCGTCGTAAGTCGAGGAGAGACTGTACTTTGTAATTCGGTCAAAAATTACCAATAAAAGCTACTTATTCAGTATTTTAGCACAAAACCTGTGTGAGACTGATTTTTACGCCAGTCATTTGTGTATCAATGACAAGAGCTTTGAACAATAGCTCTTGGTGACATTAAACTGCATTAAGCCTGGGTTGTGTTGTACAGTATACTGTGGCTACATTAGTGTTGATGTTAGTGAATCACACACAGTGCAGTATACTGTATACCTATTATTTATTTAATAATAATAAATGTCATAACAATATCAACTATTCAAATTTGTTTGTCATTTAGGTAAATCTAAACATTTGAGAGCAATAAATTAAATCCAAAAAAATATAAAATTTTTGTACTTTTAATTACTTTTTGACACAACAAATTTTTCCTTATACTGTACTGTATTGTACAGGTTGCACTTGAAAAATACCAAATGCTTGGGACCAGAGTCATTTAGAATAACAGAAATGGTTTAACTGAAGTCCATTATAAAAAAGCCTAATATTTCAAGAAGCACCAAAAACATGCTGTAGGTTAACTACAAACTATGACTAATATGTATAACTGAAATTAAACTAAGTCACATAATAAATAAGGTTAATAATAATACAGTACAGTATTTGGGCTTTAGTGAGGGTAGTACTGTACCATAAATACAGTACATGCCCAGTGAACACAGCTTTGTTTATTTATCATACCTCTGCAGTCTGCTGAGCATGGTACAATGTCATCGCTCAGTCAGCTACCACAAGCATGGGTAAAGATTTTGAAAAGGTCAGCCATGGAACTTTACATTGATGCATATACAGTGATCCTTCGGTTAACGATTTACCTTCCATAAGATTCTTAACTTTGGTTAATGAGCAATCCTTTGATTAACGAGTTTTTTATGAGCCGACCTCAACATGTTTTCACTTGCATTTGGCGGTCCACCAGCTGTAGTATTAGTCCGCCAATACAGTAATCTGTTTTAGGGCTTCGATTCCTTACTATTTTAGTAAATATCAAGAAGTTTATACTATTCAATAATTTTAAAAGTTTAATATTAAATTTTTTAGTCATTTTAACAATTATTGAACATAATTGAAGTTAAGGAACTAGTTTCATGCGTGCCATCCAGCCTGTCAACACACCAAACAGGTGCCAGTCTGTCTTTTCAGTGGAGGTAACATCTTGCTTGAGACTCTTCAACTAAACGCTTTTTTCTGTGTTTGCAAGTAAATTATTGGTCATTTTGAAATTTATTTTACATATTGACAATATATAATACAGTGCAGTGTTGATTTAAAGAAAATAATCTTGAATTACACCAAGAGAACTAAAATTTTATGGGTGAAATAGCGGCATGGGGTGACTTCTCTTCCACCCCAATGCCTTCTCTTCTCCCTTCTCCTCCACCCCCATTCTAATTCCCATCATCATCATCATCATCCAGGAGCCTTCTACATACACACCTCAAAGCAAATGTACTTTTCTACCTTTTTTGTTGAATTTAGGCAATTTTCGGTGAGCTGGAACCAATTACCCAAAAACCAATTGAAACAATGGTTTCAGTTAACGAGTTTTTCAGTTAACGAGCAACCTGCTGGAATGGATTGTGCTCGTTAACCGAGGGACCACTGTAAGGAGATAGGACAGAAATAAATAAAAATATTGTACTTTATTCTGCAATGTTTTTTCTTTACTTTTCGATTTCACTTCAAAAAATGCAATTTTGATCAAACTAGGTAGTGAGGGCTTTGATGTTGAGGTTGCTGTCTGCATACTTTATTTTTTATCACAAATACTACTGTAAATCGAGGGCCAACTATGATTTATATAAAACAATGAAGATTCTTTTACATTTCACTTTCCTTATCCCCAAATATAAATTAATTTAAGAATTTAAAATAATGTTGATGTACTCAGATACAAGTACTGTACAATATTTGCTTGTTAAACTGGTTATATTGTAGAATCAATTTCCCAGTACGGTAGTTATTTACAATGAAACTTTACAGTGCAATGCAGTATTGTACAGTACAGTATACATATTGAAAGTCTTGATACAGTACAGTATTTGTTTGTGTTTTAATATTAATTTTTTTTTTGTACTTACAAGGTCGAGTCACCCTACAAATAAACATAGAGATAAAGAAACTTTTGATACCGGTACTGTATCAGTTGGTTACTGAGATGGTTGTATGTGGCTGGTCAAATGTTACCTTTACTCGCAGGTGGTGAAGGGGTGCCCAAGCAGGTGGAGGCAGCAGAAGTGGAAGCAGCGACCACCAGGTCTATGGCTCCTGAGATGAAGGTCAGGATACTGACAAAAAGATTCAGCTTGAAGTAGTGGAGGCCATAGAATATAATAAAGAGTAAAAGGAAGTTTGTAGGAAACAGAAGGACTTGCTCAAGGGAGAACAAAGGGAATCATTATAAATCTCCACACATATTAAGGAATCAATAAGAAGGGGAGATATAACCAAACTATAGATTAGGTTAAATAAAGTACAGTTCCCGATTGTTTTGATACATTAGAGTTATCTCTCACTTGCTGTTTGTCTTCATTTATTTGGATAATGATGTTAATATATTTGCCAGACATGTAATCTACACTATTAATGCATGAAAATGTTTATTTTGACAAAAATTTCAGATAGAATGGGACAATAACTCTCATGAAAAGGCACCAGCAAGAGCATTTACTTTAACTTTTTCCCTCTTCACCATTTATCATCATCGACGGCCATTTTTCTCACTTAAACGGGTTACTTTCTTTACAATTGTGTAAACAGTATACACCTAGACCCCGACTTACGACGGGGTTAGGGACCCAAATCCAGGTCGTAAGTCCGACATAGATAAATTTTTTTTTTTTTTTTTTTTTTTTTTAATAAAAAATCTACAATGAAATACAGTACAGTAAAAGTAATGAATAATGATGAATGGATACAGTACAGTGAAAGTAATAAATAATAAGGAATGGATACAGTGTGACTGAGCACTTAACCTTTAATGTAGTCAGCTGAATGCACATGGGGCCCCCATAATTTTCTAATTATACATGGAGACTACATTAACTGGAAACGTTTCGGTATAGAAAATGCGTGTCATTTAAAAATTTTTTTTTTTTTTTTTTTTTATCTATATCTGAGGCGGTCGTAAGTCCCGACGGTCGTAAGTCCACGTAGTCGTAAGTCGGGGTCTAGGTGTACTGTACTTTATATTTTTTCAACTAGTTTGTGAAGTCAATTGTATTACTGTACTCTCCAAATCTGTATGGATGTTTACATCATTGCCTCAATTATTTCACCCATTATTTCTTGGACTTCTCTCAGTGTTTCATCTTTCTTGAACTTTTCTCAGTGTTTCAGTTCATCTATGGGCACCGTAGGGGAAGGTCACACCCGCTCGTTGTTCTCTGACCTGACTGAGCTTCAGCACTGTATGAAGCTTGGTACAGGTGTGAGAAGTTACCTTGTGTGCCTTGGTTATCTCGGTACCTCGACCCTATAAACGTGGACTGTATAATTATGTACCATAACCTAACTGTGTAGAGGAAAATACAGTGTGACGCGATACAGCGAAGGTGGCACCCAGTCCCTGCCATTAAGGTTGAGGTCAGAGGTCAGACACTGAGGTGCCAGGCCAGCATTCTGCCTGCTGCTGCCTGCCTACCTACCTCCCTCTTGTGTATGGGACTATAGAGATCAACTTACCTCGTATCATAAGAGGGTTGCGCCTCCCAGCCACCGTTCACCACCTGTGTGCCACACACCACACACTAAGGATAACCAAACTAACTTTTCAGTATTTTGCACATTGTGAAATAGGGTGTGATACTTCACATCAGTGTCAGTGAGCTATGACCATGTGTAAAGTGGTATTTGTGGGTGTAGTGTAGTAATCAATGTGACATCTTCTGGCATCCACAGTGCCCTGGTGCCCGCGAAGCCTACTTCCGGGCTCGGCCATGTGGCTCCCTGCCTCACCCTCCCTCCCTCCCCTCGCTCTGCTGATGGTTGGCGCTTATCACACGTGTTAATGACTTTATGTGGTGTCTCACATGACTATGGTGGTTTTACTGGGCTGGTGGGAACGGAAATTTAACAGTGAGTTGGTGAATATTGTGTGTAACTCCTATCAGTGTTACTCAAGGCTCACTTCAAACAACTCAGCCCATTCACACAAGTCCCTGTTACCCGGACACCGCTGGCCTACATATCAACTCTCTGCCCCAGTGTATAAGACCTGGATTCCATTTAAATCTAACCATGGCAGGAGTCGACGCCGGGCGGTGCTCTGCTCATGTTCCTGACGAAGGAAACGAAGGAGATGAGGACAGTCATGGCGACACTGAAGCTGGCTTTCAGAAGTTTAAGACTCGTCAGCAGAAGCGCAAAATGAGGACCCAGGGAAGGAAGCAGAGTAGAGCCAATAGGTGCATCCCTCCCATTGCTCCATGGGCTAACTACATGCGCCTTGCCTTCCCCGAGAACACAACCAATTTGATGAAGATTAATTGGTTGAGAGCCCTGAATGAGGAATATTGCACGACTACGCTGATTGTTGTCATGCCAGGTTGCACTCCTCTTTCATCTATGTAAGCCGAGAGGAGTCGGATGCTATCCAACGCTTCATTGATGGAAAGGTCGGCTCACTACATCTCATTAAGCGAGATGAACCTGTCCGACCCCCAAAAATGAAGGAATACCTTGTCACCCACTTCCCCAAGGGTATTCCCCACCAGTGGCGCTCTGTCACTTACGGGCGTCCACAAAGCAACAAGACTTTATAAGGATGGTGCACAGCTTAGTAGGATAATCATTGTTTGGAAAAGAAAGGAACCACCTCCTGAGGAGTACTGCTTTTTCAGCATGTATAGTACCCCTAGTAACATCAGTCGGTGGACTCCTCCCCCTGTGGTGTGCTACAACTGCTTCGGGGTTAATCATGTGGCGAAATACTGTCACAAGACAGCCACCTGCGGCATCTGCGCAGGAATGCATAGCACGAGGAGCTGCCCCACCAAGGAAGCTGCCTCTTGGGAGGGGAGAGAGCATCCCCCCCCCCTACCTGGGAGGCAGTGTCCCAGGTGCAGGGAGGAGGGTGTGACGGCCTGGTACCCCGGTTGTCCTGGGAGGCTGCCTCCACCCGCAATAGCGGTCCCACTCAGTGATGCCAACGTGGCCGAATCGCCTCCACCACCTGAAGTCAACAGGCACAGTGGCTCTCCTTCGTTAACCAATGCAGGTCAGGTTAAAGCCTGCCAAATAAGTGTACCAGTGAATAATGGCAGTGATAGTGTCAGTGGAGCTTCTGAAGGAGCTGGTGCCTTCTCTTATAATGATGCGAACTTGAGGATGAGTAGCCAGAGCGAGACCAATAGTGATGGAAGCATGAATGGGGAGAATGAGCCCAGACTGCCAGCGTAGTCTCTTTAATAACCACAGGTCTGAAAACTGTCCATAACCCTGTACTTCTTCCAATATTTACGGAGGAACTCGCGGGACTAATGAAGGAACCTGTGTATAAAAATCCTACTGGAATAAGGGCTGTGAGGCGCATTATCAAGAACTCCAAGGGTGATGAATTTGAAGCGGTTAACTTATTGGTCAGGTTGATCTACAAAGCCTGTGCGCGACTCTATACTAAGTTCAAGGTGGAACGAGTTACACGAACGCTTAGGTTCATTTCATGGAATATCCAGAGTATTAAGCGCTGAATTAATGACCTACAATGGTCTGTTAAAGTTTTTAATATTGATGTACAGCTCCTCCCTGACTTAAAACCTACTCGACTTATGACCACCCGCACTTACGACCTGCCTCAGTCGTACCAAAATTTTGTCAAATTACGTATTTTCGAGTCCCAACGTCAGTACTTTAAAATGGCTGGCAAGCTTAAAAGTGAGAGGTTTGTGGTGCTGAGAAGAAAAAACCACCCATTTTAGATTTTCTATGTATTATTTAAGCATTTTCGACTTAAGACCTGGATTTTGATCCCTAACGTTGTAAATTAAATATATATATATATATATATATATATATATATATATATATATATATATATATATATATATATATATATATATATATATATATATATATATATATATATATATATATATATATATATATATATATATAATATATATATATATATATATATATATATATATATATATATATATATATATATATATATATATATATATATATATATATATATATATATATATATATATATATATATATATATATATATTATATACATACACACACACCCCCACCCACCCACCCACCCACACGTATTACCCTTTTACACGGTTTCACTTTCCATGATTTCTCTTCGTTTCATTTCCTTGCCAGAACCGGACTTTCACTTTCAGGGTGCATCTACTCATATCGTGCTGAAGTATAATTTTTTGTTTTATTTTTTTTATTTAGCTCATAAAATTCATACAAATTACCGGTCAGAATATAATTTACATTGCTGGAATTCTTACAATATGATGATCATTTTGAATATAAACATCATGGATTTTGCATTAGACATACAAATTTTAGATCTTATGTAATAATTTGGTTTACACAAAAGCAAATATTTTATCCTTTGTGCAGAATATATGAAGTTTACATTCAAAATATTCCTGACCTGCAAGGAATCCAGAAATGTCAATTATATTATCCCTTTAGTCTGAGGTATTATTTATTACTAAACGTTAAAATGTAGTGTTTTCACCCAATCATTTCTCAGAGAGGTAGGAGCTAGTGAGCTGGGAAGAGGATTTGAGTCCATTATTTGAATACATAAATCTTAAATCGCGAAATGAAACAACGGAGCACCTTGGCTTTAGTCTTTATTCAAGACATCTTCAGAGGCAACTGAAGATGTCTTGAATAAAATATATATATATATATATATATATATATATATATATATATATATATATATATATATATATATATATATATATATATATATATATATATATATATATATATATATATATATTACTTAACTAAAACTCTCAGTGTTTCATCTCGTCTTGGATAACTTCTTTTTAATTGATTAGAAATTTAAATTAATGTTTGTAAATTAATGAAGAAATCCCTATGAAATCCGTATGGGTCATTTTCCACATCAATATTCTTACTTGTTATTGCTCTCAGCTCACATACTGTATAGTACTTACTTAATATACTCTGCCGTATTCCTAATTTAATATATGCTACAGTATCTTTAATATAATGTACTCTACAGTAAGGTACCTCTCTATTTACCTTCTAAATTGTTAATTTCTAGCACACAGCTTCCTTAACCGTTTCATATATTCATCAGGATGACGACTGGTCACCATGGACAGTGCCTGTGGGTGTTTGTGAGCGCATAACCTGGGCTCTGTCTCTGCCGCTGGTTGCCCTCCACTATTTCACCACCCCAGACTGCCGCAGGAGCAGCTTCCGTCATTGGCATCTTGTCACCTTCACCATGAGTATGATCTGGATTGCTGCCTATTCCTACATCATGGTCTGGATGATTACAGTCATTGGTAAGTCATGTTGAGACTCGTAGCCATTAATGTACAGGTACTCCTCGACTTACGACCTATGCGACTTATGACCACCAGGACATATGACCGCCACAGTTGTACAAAAAAAAATTTCAAATTCCGTATTTTCGAGTCCCAACGTCAGTGACTGTGCTGTGTACTGACAAAATTTTCTTTTGTAATTCCCTTTAAAATGGCTGGCAAGCGTAAAAGTGAGAGTTTTGTGGTGCTCAGAAGAAAAGACACCATTTTAGATTTTCTATGTACAGGTAGTTCTGCTATAACGCGATAATTGTGTTCTTGTAAAATATCGTGTTATAGAAAATCGCGTAATAGAAATAACAGGGCTTATGGAGAAAATAGGGTTAGGTGCAGATTACTCATCGAAAAAATTTAGTAGTTAGCCTAACACAAAGGATAGCACAGTCTAAATAAATGTTACATTCATATCTAATAATGAAATCATACAGTAAATGTAACACTTTACTTGATGGGGGAGAAGGGTGATTTTGAGGTTGATAAAATCGAGCTTCTCTTCAAGTGTTATATCCTTTCTTTTCTGATCATCACCAGGAATCTTATCACCAGAACGCTTCTTGTTGATATTCTTCTTTACTATATTCACAGTTAATAGTACCACAAAATTGGAGAAATAGTAAGCAAAAATCTCGTTATAGCAAACAAGCGTTCGCGTTATACAAATATCGTTCCTAATTCATAAATCGCGTTAGAGCAAATTCGCGTTATCAAAACACGCGTTATAGCAGAAATCACTGTACGTACTGTATTATTTTCGCATTTTCGACACGACCAATTTGACTTACGACCTGGTCGTCAGTCCCTAACCCCATCGTAAGTCGGGGACTGACTGTAATGTATGTAGCTGATAACATTACACACCTGGGAAGATTACACGAGTAATGTACTCAATTATGATTACAGTGGAGTCGCCCAATCATGTGTCAAGACATTACGTACCACAGAAACACGCTATAAGAACAGCCTAGTCCCAAACATTGTTAAAATTATCAACAACTCGTAATCAACCAGTGTATTCACTCCCAGCCAATCTTACCTTTTTGCATTGTCACACTATTGAAATGCCCTGTAGTATAACCTTCTGCCCACTTAGTTATCATATATCATATTTGTATCACTTATGTTATTTGTCAATCAAGTGACCCATTCCCTAATCATGCTCTTTCAGTAGACCATTAATTATTATTATTGCAGGCATCCCCTGTGTTACGGAATCACGGGTTGCGGAATTTCGCTCTCACGGAATTTGTAAATTATGACTAATAATTTCGTAATCTGACCCGTTATATCCTTATGGAAATTGTGGTCAATTTTAACGACTACAAAAAAATCACTATGGTATATAAAATTAACAATTTTTGTTAAAAATTTTAATTTGTTTGGTGTGGATTTCTTGGTGTTTGCTACCGCCAAGCGTGGCATCGTCTCGTGAGTCAGTCCATTGTTTACATCCAGTGCGAGCATGTTTCTCGCCCCAGCAGTTGGATTTAACTTTTACAAACATACAGTAAGTACAGTACAGTGCATTACCCTTATTCAAGATGACTGGAAAGAGGTCATCAAGTGGAAGTGACCACAGTAGTGCAAAAAGAAGCCTCAAAGGCATTACATTGGATATTAAACTTGATGTTTTAAGAAGGGCAGAAGAGAGTAGTGCCCCTCCTCCCCTCCCAATAACTCCTTTTGCACCACATATCCTCACGCTTGCGGTCAACATCTTTTGTGGTGAGTACAGTACAGTACAATATTTTTATTTATTCCAACTGTATTTCTCTTCTTATTACATGTATATCATAAATTATTTAATGTACTGTATTGTATGTGTTTATAAATGTTTATTTTCATTCATAAAAGTGCTTGAATTACTTTTTGGGGGCCAAAAAATTCCTTAGGAACGCATCTCCAGTTTTATAATGGAAGTTAATGGGAAAATAGGTTTTGCCTAACGGAATTTCGCGATACGGTCAATTTTCCAGGGAATTCCGTAATGCAGGGGATGCCTGTATTATTATTATTAAAATGCATACAAATAATTAATAATGGGAAAATCCTCTCACAATTAATAAGAAACACGTCAAGAAAATGTAATGAAGGAAAAATGCGAGTCTACCCTCAAGTCAACTCCTTGCTTTGTTATTAAAGTTGAGTTGATTGAGTTGCCATATGGCTCTGGCGCCAGCTGGGTTGATACATAGATCAAACTTACAGAATTTCTTTTTTGGCCATCTAGCCAACCCAACATGAAGGATGTCGGTAATTGTGGTGTAAGACTGGATACTTTTTCACACTACTTTATGTATTTAGGATGGTGCGTGCTTGTAAATGAGTAAATATAAATGAAGACGGTTACGTATATCTACCCAAAAATACGAGTTGAGAAAAACCATAACACCTCACAGCTTGGCCTAGTAGCCTGGTGGTTACAATGATGAGCTAACCTAGTTACAATGACATGATTAATCACTGTTAAGCACTATTCTATCAGTAAACACTATTAATAACAGCAAATCCAGTGAAATATGGCAGGGAGCTAAGAGGAGAATTACAACTAAAGACGATGCACTACCTAGCAGTCACTCCTCTCACCTCCTCCCATTGCCAGACGTAGCTAGGCGTATGTATTTTGTAGTACAGTGGTTCCTCGGTTAACGAGCGCCTCGGTTAATGATAATACAGTACAGTATTTGGGCTTTAGTGAGGGTAGTACTGTACCATAAATACAGTACATGCCCAGTGAACACAGCTTTGTTTATTTATCATACCTCTGCAGTCTGCTGAGCATGGTACAATGTCATCGCTCAGTCAGCTACCACAAGCATGGGTAAAGATTTTGAAAAGGTCAGCCATGGAACTTTATATTGATGCATATACAGTGATCCTTCGGTTAACGAGCGCCTCGGTAAACAAGATTTCGGTTAACGATTTACCTTCCATAAGATTCTTAACTTTGGTTAACGAGCAAACCCTCGATTAACGAGTTTTTTACGAGCTGACCTCAACATGTTTTCGCTTGCATTTGGCGGTCCACCAGCTGTAGTATTAGTCCGCCAATACAGTAATCGGTTCTAGGGCTTATATTCCTTACCATTTTAGTAAATATCAAGAAGTTTATACTATTCAATAATTTTAAAAGTTTAATATTAAATTTTTTAGTCATTTTAACAATTATTGAACATAATTGAAGTTAAGGAAACTAGTTTTATGCGCGCCATCCACCCTGGCAACACACCTAAACAGGCGCCAGTCTCTCTGTCTTTTCAGTGGAGGTAACATCTTGCTTGAGACTCTCTTCAACTAAACGCTTTTTTCTGTGATTGCAAGCAAATTATTGGTAATTTTGAAATTTATTTTACATATTGACAATATATAATGCAGTGCAGTGTTGATTTAAAGAAAATAATCTTGAATTACACCAAGAGAACTAAAATTTTATGGGTGAAATGGTGCCATGGGGTGACTTCTCTTCCACCCCAATGCTTTCTTCTTCAGTCCACCCCCATTCTAATTCCATCATCATCATCATTATCCTGGAGCCTTCTACATACACACCTCATAGTAAGTGTACTTTTCTACCTTTTTTGTTGAATTTAAGCAATTTTCGGTGAGCTGGAACCACTACCCAAAAACCCATTGAAACAATGGTTCGTTAACGAGTTTTTCGGTTAATGAGCAACCTGCTGGAACGGATTGTGCTCGTTAACCGAGGGACCACTCTGAAAATGGTATGGTGTCACGATATTGATGCAGGAATGTGGTTTTCTTACCGTAGGGTTCAGATACCTTTGCACTGGTTACTCACCCAGGAGATTATGGTGTATCACTACGTAGAATTTCAGTACACTTCCTGCATTCAATGTGTTGTGTACTTGATAAATGATAATTTAATGAATTCCATTAATTTCCAACATCCATCTAAGTTATTGATTATACTTTGTCATAACCAATCAGTCATTACCTTTAGTAATCATAAGATATGAATTATAAATACTGGCAGATACTTGCACTTAAGTTTATTTCGGCACGGCTCTATACACTGACATAATCTGCATGGGTAGGTGAGTCATTCACATTCACGCCACAATACCGTAATTTTATAAGGGGGAGTTTGTCAACCTGGAGAATTAACTGTTTAGATTTAGTAGGCCGGCCTGGAGTGCTCTTGTAGCAAACAGGCCTTCACCAGTGGTCACTTTTCTTTATGAGATCTTGGGGGTTTGCACACACAGAATCGTAGCACTGACAGTCTCTGGACGGTGTCTTGGTAGGACTGTATGACCCCTGTTCTTAAGTCTCCAGGTTTTACTAAACCATGGTCTAAGGCTCATTTGCTAAAATGTGGATTTGGATCATGAGATACGATGAACAATACAACACTGTCTCAATAGCTCCCCCCATAGACTGGCCTACATACTCGTGAAGTAGTGATGACGGAGTCACGGCTCGCCTGGTGATCGTATCTCCGTGAAAACAAACATTGGAGTTGGGTTGCTTGGGTAGACCCAAAGCAACTTATGAAATATGGGTTCAATGATAAACAAATTATATAAACCATTTATTTTCCTATGATAACATAATAAAAAACATTGTGTCATTACTAGAGTGAATGAATTGATATTCCCACAAGCAAAAAATTACAACTGTTTTAAAAAAATAGATTAACACTCACCATTCCATGCTGGCTGTTTGTGTAGATCCCATTTTCCTCTCCCCTGCCACTGATGAATATCATGATGAAAATGATGATGATGATGATGAATGCAGGGGAGTTTACAAGTTCTCCTCATCTGCTTTGGCAGAGGAGAGCAGAGAGGTCAGAGCTGGGAGCTGCAGAAGGAAGGTCGTCCAAGTCGGAATCATAGTCAGGAGGAGGAGGAGGAAGAGGAGGTGCATGTGCATGAACGGGAGGCTGAGGCTTTCTTGCAGATGTAGAAGGTGTAGGGCTTGGACCGGACGAAGGCAAG